TGTTGAATTCACCTTTTAATAGTAATGGTCAAACGGAAAACGGGAGAATTTTCTAAAATTTAATTCATAAGAACTTTAATACTTCACCAAAACTAAAGAGGATTTATAACAAAAATAATGTTAAGATCAGCTATAGCAGTGTTAGTAACATCGATAAATCTATGTCCCAACATAAGAACATTATATTAAATAAATATATTTCTAACAAAACGTTAATTTAAAAAAAAAATAAATGCAGCTGCCGAAAAAATATGATCTGTCCCTTAAACGGTCAATGTATGACTGACAATATTGTATACCGAGCTAGCATAGACTCCGATAACGATGCTAAATTTTATTTTGGATCCTCTGAAAATCCTTGATAATTTCGTTTTTACTATCTTCTAATGACTTTAGGCAATATAAAATACAAAAACCGTACTACTTTCTGTAAATATTTCTGTCAATTAATGAATGGTGCTAATACGAGCTAAATCTTATAATGGGAAAGGCAATAGATGTAATTTATGTTTTGCTGAAAAAAATAGTTAGCTTACAACACTTAAAATAGCCTAGCTCATTAAACAAGAAAAATGAATGGATCGCTACATGTACACATAAAAATAAATATATACTTAAATACGTTGATCCCGATTAATTTTTAATGTAAATTCTGGTTGTTGTTTTTTAAAGAATAAGAACAAATATTCTCCCTTTATGTTTAATATAAAAAATAATATTCACAAATCTAATACACACACACACACACACACACACACACACACACACACACACACACACACACACACACACATATATATATATATATATATATATATATATATATATATATATATATCAGTTTCTACAAAACTGTAATCACAGTATAATATATTACTGCATCCAAATAACCAGATATATTGTTTAAAATTTAAATTACGTGACGGTCAGTCTAAAACCAGCACCTAAAGAGTCGCGCTATATATATATATATGAAAGTAACATGAGTGCTTCAGCATAAAATCTAAGTGGAAAAAAAAAGCTCCTCGGGAAATATTTGGACGACTAATATATTTCCAGTTGAAATCAAATGTCAAGGTTTTAAGAGAAGAAAAAATAATACTATTATGAAGACGAACCAAGATCGGCGACTCGGTTCATATGACACACCTAACCAATTGTAAAAAATAATAAGGTCCAGTCTAGTGTTATTTATCTATCTTAGTCTGTTCATTATCTATCTATCTATCTATCTATCTATCTATCTATCTAGTTCTGGTATCTATCTATCTATCTATCTATCTATCTATCTATCTATCTATCTCTGTTCATTATCTATCTATCTATCTATCTCTGTTCATTATCTATCTATCTATCTATCTATCTATCTATCTATCTATCTATCTCTGTTCATTATCTATCTATCTATCTATCTCTGTTCATTATCTATCTATCTATCTATCTATCTATCTATCTATCTATCTATCTATCTATCTATCCCAATCTGTTCATTATCTATCTATCCATCTATGTCTGTTCATTATCTATCTATCTATCTATCTATCTATCTATCTATCTATCTATCTATCTATCTATCTATCTCTGTTCATTATCTATCTATCTATCTATCTCTGTTCATTATCTATCTATCTATCTATCTATCTATCTATCTATCTATCTATCTCTGTTCATTATCTATCTATCTATCTATCTCTGTTCATTATCTATCTATCTATCTATCTATCTATCTATCTATCTATCTATCTATCTCTGTTCATTATCTATCTATCTATCTATCTATCTCTGTTCATTATCTATCTATCTATCTATCTATCTATCTATCTATATCTCTGTTCATTATCTATCTATCTATCTATCTCTGTTCATTATCTATCTATCTATCTATCTATCTATCTATCTATCTATCTATCTATCCCAATCTGTTCATTATCTATCTATCCATCTATGTCTGTTCATTATCTATCTATCTATCTATCTATCTATCTATCTCTGTTCATTATCTATCTATCTATCTATCTCTGTTCATTATCTATCTATCTATCTATCTATCTATCTATCTATCTATCTATCTATCTGTTCTGTTTATCTATCTATCTATCTATCTCTCTGTTCATTATCTATCTATCTATCTATCTATCTATCTATCTATCTATCTCTGTTCATTATCTATCTATCTATCTATCTCTGTTCATTATCTATCTATCTATCTATCTATCTATCTATCTATCTATCTCTGTTCATTATCTATCTATCTATCTATCTCTGTTCATTATCTATCTATCTATCTATCTATCTATCTATCTATCTATCTATCTATCTTTTCATCCCAGTCTATTCATATCTGTCCATCTTAATCTGTCATTATCTATTCCAGTCTGTTCAGTATCCATCTATGTCTTTTCATTATCTATCTATCTATCTATCTATCTATCTATCTATCTATCTGTTGAAGCTTAAATAAGCATGGAATAATACAACACAAAATGTACGTTAACAAAATGTATTGAAACAAAGAATAGGTACACAATATTTACAGTTAGTTTGGTATATTCTTGGGAAGACTGTTCCTGCATAATGGGTTGACTAAATCGCAGTCGGGCAGAGTCTCTGGATTCAATTTCTTAATCTCTACTATCTTCCCCGTCTTCCGGTACCAACCCATATTTATATGGTCGGTAGTCCGCTTATGTAAATTAGGTGTATCATACACAACACTATCCCAATCTGTTCATTATCTATCTATCCATCTATGTCTGTTCATTATCTATCTATCTATCTATCTATCTATCTATCTTTTCATCCCAGTCTATTCATATCTGTCCATCTTAATCTGTCATTATCTATTCCAGTCTGTTCAGTATCCATCTATGTCTTTTCATTATCTATCTATCTATCTATCTATCTATCTATCTATCTATCTATCTATCTATCTATCTATCTATCTAAAAAGTAGTAGTATTAGAAGAAGAAGAAGAAGAAGAAGAAGAAGAGTCACCTCATAGTTTAGAGAAATATAAAATTCCCCAGATGGAAATTACCTCTGGGAATATTTGAAAAATTGTTTTACCTTAGCTCTTGTCAAAATTCATCTTGTTTGAAATTCCTCCTGGGAATCTTTGATAGTAAGTGGAAACGATTTGTTGTTTTTTTTAATATTTAAAGATAACGGAATATTTCGGATACTCGATGACGTATGGTGAAATGACTGATTAAAATAAAAAAGTAAACAAAAAAGACGTCGATAGTATTAATGGCTTACAAATACTGAGAGCCGATGACACGGTTGAAACTACCGCTTTCACATTTAATTTGTGTACTATCGCTTTTGTTTTCTATTTGCCTGCAATACATAAAACCGTGTACCCCGGCAACGGAGAAAAAGATCGACATTTTGGTTTACTCAGGAGATCAAATGGTCTAGGTTCTAATTTGATGAATGAAAAATCGATTAATGACGAATCGATCAACCTAAACTTAGGTGAGACCTCATCCTCAGTTATTCGACGAAGAAAAACCGCTGACAAGTGATATTTCGATAGAGTTACTCTTTCAAATTTATCGATTAAAAGTTTATTTCAATAACACCACATTAATATCAGAGATAATTTGTTATATTGAAACCAGAATAAACAAAACATTTCTCTCTCTCCAAAAACATTACTAACAACTAGAATCCCTCAAAACTTGCAGTGTTAATGAAATCTTAGAAGTGTCATTTAAGTTTCCTCTCTAATAGATCGTTACTTTTCGTAAAAATAATAAAATTTCGAATCTAAATTGCTTGAGCATTTACTATATTATATTTATTAGAAAATACAGTGTGTCACAAAAAAATTGACATCTGAATTCGCTGATTCCCAGACTTCATGAATTCAAGGGCCCTACGAGGCTGGCATCTTGCTCTCACCCTTTCACTGTTGAAACTGTTAAATGTAGCCGTCTCTTCTACTCCAATAGCTTCATATCTCGTACCTCTCGCCTGTGGAACTCCCTTCCCTATTTCAGTTTCCCTGAAAGCTATAATCTCCAACTATTCAAGTGTAATGTCAATCGACATCTCCAGTTGCATTGATCTATCCACTATCCTTCTCCTCATCCTTCCCTCTATCACTCCTATCTGATCTTGCTCCAAATCTTCTGTAACCCCTTGCGTCCTAGTGGCTTCCTGCCTTGCTTGGGGTGAAACGCTTAATAAAAAACTAAGCCTAGCTCAATGAAATTGAACAGTTCAAGTGTTGAACATCATAGGTTTATTCTAAGACCGATTTCATAAGCAATCAATATACGCGCTGCCTGTGACACGGTACACAAAAGTCGGTAGTTTAGCTCTTGCCAAACACGCCAGATCCTTTAGGTCTGTATAAGCAGCATTCCTCTTTAAATTTTTGGTACCAAGTCCAGATTTTTTTTACCATTTGGTGAAGTTTTTCCAAACTTTTCATTGAAGGCATGCTGCACAGTTCTGGGTGATTGTCTGCGAGCATATTCCTAGGCGCAAAATGACCTCTGTGTGGGAGTGAACAGCATGGCTCAACCTGAAAACTGAACAAAAATAAAACATTAAATATAAAATCTTGATCTGTTTCTATACATTGTGTGAAAATTTGAGGTTATTTCAACAACTACCAAAATTATGGGCCTTCGAGATGATGTCAAATTTTTTTATATTCAGTGTAAATTCAGAACGTGTCGTAAAATGGCTTCAGTAGCTTTGTTGTCAAACAAAAACTTTTGATTGACTCGTATTCTACAGCTTATCAAACCTTTGCAGGTTATTTAAATCCAGCAAATGTTTATAGATTTTAAATTGTATTAAGACAATAATTTAGTGATACAAGTCTTACTAATTAACCCATAGCTAAGGGGGAAGTGGTGGATTCATACCTTTCCCAAGGGTATGTACGCGTAAGTGTTCATAACGAGCCCAAATGGTATTGAAACTCGGCTCTTCGATTAATAATTTTGAGCCATTACACCACCCACACAAGCGAGCTTAGAGAACCTAGCATTCCTAAAAGTTCACCCGTCTAGGTACTAAACAGGCTTGGCGTTGCTTAACTTCGGTGCTCTTACGGGAAACGGTGTTTCAACGTGATATGTCCGTAAGCTTTGTTAAATGTGGGTCTTCGATTCCTTACTAAATGATAGAAAATAGCTTCTTCTTGAAAACGGACAGTTTTCAATCTCAAATCTATCTATTCATCTATCTATTCATCTATCTATTTATTCATCTATCTATTCATCTATTTATTCATTTATCTATCTATTCATCTATCTATTCCTCTATTTATTTATCTATCTATTCAACTATCTATTCATCTATTTATTCATCTATCTATTCATCTATCTATTCCTCTATTTATTCATCTATCTATTCATCTATCTATTCCTCTATTTATTCATCTATCTATTCATCTATCTATTCCTCTATTTATTTATCTATTTATTCATCTATCTATTCATCTATCTATTCATCTATCTATTCATCAATTTATTTATCTATCTATTCATCTATTTATTCATCTATCTATTCATGTATTTATTTATCTATTTATTCCTCTATTTATGTATCTATCTATTCCTCTATCTATTCATCTATTTATTCCTCTATTTATTTATCTATCTATTCATCAATTTATTTATCTATCTATTCATCTATCTATTCATCTATTTATTTATCTAGTTCTCATAAAACAATGATGTGTTTCAGTTTCATTCAAATTATGTGCGTAGGTATACTTTAATTCAATTGCCTTCTTGATGAATTTAAGAAAAGCTTTAAAAATAATTATCTCTATTACCAAATAATTCCAAAAATATTCAATAAAATTTTATAATCATCTTTTTTTTTAGGGTTTAAAAAATAACCTATTTTTCTGTCCGACTTTACGATTTTATTGCTCAGCTCAGGGTAGAGGTTGTTTAGAATGAGTGGGTGAGGAGTGTGTTTTTCCATATATTAAACGGTACAAACACAAGTAAGGTACGACGCAGACGTAAACATATACATTACATGCGCACATACAAAAACGCACGAAGACATTTTGTGAGGGTCAGAGAATCAATTCGTCTTTTCTAATATAGATTTATTGTGTTAACAATGGACTGTCTGGCAATCGTTTATATGTCTGGGGATAAATTTAGCAGCTAAGAAAGTGGCTTCCAAAGAGAAGACTTCAGTGGAGATGATTGAAGAAAGGATGAAAAAAGAAAAGAGTTCAAGAAGACAGAATATGGCGATTGACTACGTATTTAAATTTTTGAATGTTGTAGTTACCATGGAATTACGTAAACAAAAGTGAGCTCCAAAGGCGGGAAGCGCGAGATTAAAAACCGTTGCAGTAAAAATGGCGGTTGCATTTAACTATTTCAACAGTAAACGGGTGGGGCATAGATGCCAATCTCATAGCACGCTTAAATTCGTGCAGTCGGGGTACAAGGGAAAAAAGCCCTCGTTAGTGCAGTTGCCATGGGAATATTTTTAAAAAAAGATGCAGAGAAACCACATCATGTCGGTAAGAAAGAGACTGGAGTCGAGATACCAAGTCATGATCGATTACATTGCAGATCCTTCCTTGAATTTTGTACACCAGGAGCACCAGACCATACCATATATGGAAACAGTATCCAGTGCATGGAAGAATGGTAGATTTATACATTTCCAGGATAGATTCTGACGAGAAAAAAAACTTCTGCCAAGACAAAGTGAATTGACCATTTTCCCCAGCATCATGAGCAATTATTGTGTCGGATATATAATTAAACTGAAATTTCACCACATTCTTGTTAATAGCGGGATTTTATAAACGCTTCATCTATATCCACAGGGACAATATCCGATGGAATTCTGCACCCGAAAGCTAAACGTGAGTGTTGGTTTCCATAAATAAATATAAAACACTTTTTGTATTATGAAATATAACAAGACGCTAAGCAAGCACGAATTTTACAAGTACGAAATAGATATTCCTCATCCTTTTTACGCGACAATAAATCTTGCTGACCTTGCATTTGGAACATACTCTCTGCTAGTGTTCCCATATTCCAATGAACTATTCTCGCTAGTGCAATCGGAACTTTTAACATTTACAGGCATGTTTTCCTGTAACTAATCACATAGAGTACATTGCTTATGTTCTGCATTTGAAATCCACAGTGCAAAAAATCATATATATATATATATATATATATATATATATATATATATATATATATATATATATATATATAAGCGCGTGCATATATATTGCATAAGAACTCAAGGTAAGGTCCCAGGTTGAAATCAGATGATATAAACGAGTATGGAAGCAGGCTTTCTGCAAAGAGTGAATACATAGAAGCAACTCAATCGGATGAGCTGAGTAAGAATAAAAATGAAATCATTCAAGGCTGGTATTGATCGTTACAAATAAGAAAAAAAAAAACAGAGAGCGCACAAAAACAATAAAGCAATATCGATAAAATGTAAAAAAAAAAATGTGTCTTGATGGAAAAAAATATTACAGTTGTCGCTCATCCAGCATAACGCGAATTTTCATGACATGTGTTTCTGGGGTTTCAAAACTAACACCGAAAATGCCCAGGTATTAATTTACGTAGTCCTATGTTTATGCAAAAACGTTGGAAAAGGTACGACACAAAGATCAATTGAAAGACCCAAGAAAATCTGATCGATTTGGAGAAGATGTACACCTACAACGTTCATCGATAGAGATGGACGCGTGTACCTCAGGATGTTCTCTAACCTGAGCAGCCATCAGGACTTTAAATCAACGCAGACCTCAAGTAGAACTCGTAAATACGATTCATCGCTAAAGACAGCATATTAGCCCCAATTACAATAGTGTCCAACGTATTTATGAGGATTGGGTCATACCCGTTAGTGTTCATAGGTACGGTATATAACAGTTAGCAAGCTTGTCTTGCGAGGTCAACTACGGCTGAAATGTTCGATCCTCAAACATTCGGCCTTGTGCCACGTCTACGTAGCGCTTAGACAATCATCGCCCCAATTGCTGTATGTTAACGCAATGAATATCGAGGGAGCTTAGGCCAAGAATAGAATATTTTCTGTCATATCTGGCCTGGAGTTGCTCAATCATCACTTTCCAGAATTGATAGAGCTCAAAATCATTTATCCGGCCTTTCCAGAATTGGTAGAGCTCAAAATCATTTATCCGGCCTTGTGACGGTCCATTTATTCTAAGTTTCAGCATGTTGTAACCTAGAAATTGTTACTGAATGAGGAATAATGAAAGCGGACGTTGGAAATGAAATGCTAATCTTTATAACATCAACAAAATACAATACTCGCCAGCGGCGTGGAGTAGGTAAACCACTTCTAGTAGTGAACTACTTAGACATCATATTACCCCCATTTACAATAGTGTCCAACGTATTTATGAGTATTGGGATATACCCATTAGTGTTCATAGCTAAGGTATATAACAGAAGACCCCAGCCACCTAAGATTATGTCCTATTGTTGCGTCGCATTTACAACAAGTGTAAGGGTATTGTCATTTTGGGAAATCTTGTATTTAGTACACAAGAGGGCAGCTAGGGTCTTGTAGTAAAATCACTGCTCAATTTACTCGCAAGGAAGAAAGAGACACTTTTTTTTCTCTTCTCATGCACCTTCAAAAAAGGCAGCTGTTTGGCATCTTCTAGAAATTCGTAAGTTAGAAATTTCCTGTAGAATCTTACTCATTCGTCAAACTTGCAGCTTTGACAGAGTTCAAAAGCTTTTACACTCTAGATCCCCTCTCTCAGAGATGCAAAGTTGAAGAACCGTCGCTATCGCTATTTGCATGTAAAAAAAATGGCGGCAGAAAATTTTTGTCGTCCTTGTCCATCCTTGAAAGCTATAAATCAACCATTCGCCCTTCCATGGAATACTGCTGTCATATATGGTCTGGAGTCCCCGCTGTTCGCCTTAAGGTCCTCGACAAAATCCAGAGACGGATATACAATTTGATTGACCCTGGTTTGAAATCTCGTTTACAGTCGCTCTTTCATATACATGCCGTTGCTTCCCTCTGTCTTTTCTCCAAATACTTTCACGGCAACTGCTCCGACCAGCTACATTCGCTGGTTCCCAAACTTCATGAATTTAAACGTGCTACTAGGTTGGCATCCCTTTTACGGTCGAAATATTTAAATGTAGCCGTTTCTTCTACTCCAATAGCGTCATGTCTCGTACTGCCCGTCTGTGGAACTCTCTTCCTCTTACTTGCTTCCCTGATAACTATAATCTCTAAATCTTCAAATGCAATGTCAATCGACATCTCCAGATGCCGTGATCTATTCCGCGTCCTTCACTACACCCTTTCCTCCATCACGCCTTTTTACCCTTGCTCCCACTCTATGTAACCCGTTGCGTGCTAGTGGCACTCCCGCCTCGCTTTGGCATGAAATGCTTAACAATGTTCTGACCAGCTAAATTTCCTAGTTCCACCGTATAGCAAATATACAAAGCGATGAAATGTCCTCATACTCTTCATATTGGCTTGATTTCCATTTCCTCTTGGCCTTGTACCAAACTAAGATCTATTGTGATGATAAATATTCGCACTTACTGGAGTCGAAGCGTCCAAGATGTTTTGCTTGTCGGGCTGCTGTTTTATGATGGATATGTGCATAAAGCCAAGCTAGACAGTTTGTCATTTCGTCAGCTGCATCCTTTCCTCTTGCAAGTGTGTTCCGAGAAAAGTACATTCTCTGACATTTGTTGATTTTATGCTGCTTGGCACGATTTGCCTGGTGGCGGTCTGCATGCTGATTGGTCGAGCTGGGGACTCCGATTAAGAACGAGGCCAACGGCGATGATTGGTGCGTTGGCCGTGTTTTTGGTCAATAAAAACGGTCTGGGACATTGGCTGGCAGTGCAACTGGGACCGTGGTGACGTGCAACGCTATAGAGGTTCGTATTAAGTTACGACTCTGTCTATGTTTGCCTGGGAGCTGGACGCTAGCTTCAAACCTACCGCTAGAGTGAGCGGTATAATTACCGGTGTCTACCGAAACGTGGGAAGAACACACTGAACTTCAACATCTATCTATCTATCTATCTATCTATCTATCTATCTATCTATCTAGGACAGTTGT